GACACTACCTGTAGACAAGGGGGGTTTGATGCAGGCTTTCTGCACTCCAAAGATGCAGACTTTTTTTCATGCCCAGCCAGAAAAAATCATCGTGGATACCTCCCTTGATTGGGAATGGTTGGGCTCATTGAGATCACCATGACAAATGAAATGCTGGAAGACTCCTGGCAGACTTCTGTTGCCTGACAGTGGCCTGCATGATCTGTTCCTTAGTCTACTATGTAAATTTTAATGTGCCCAAGGCCCCTTTGACAACGTGACCTGGAGCTTGGAGGCAGCAGTTCTACAGCAGGTGTGTCTGCCTGACAGCATGTCCAAACACTTTCTGATTTAGAGGGCTGTGAGAAGCCTAGCTGCTGCTTGGTCGAGCAAGAATCTCCAAGTGCTGAAGAACCCAGCCCTGGCCCTAGGCAACCTGTGACATAGCAAAGATTACAACTTTATTCCTTTCCTTGTGATGAGCACCAATCTATCATCTCTCTTGAGACCATCCCACGGTCAGCAGTGTGGAGGTGCAAGGATATCTGTCTGAAACAGCTTTTAAAGAGATTTTCTCCACTCTCTACAGTGTATTTTGAGGTTTCTTTGAGCCAGCAGAAGAAGATCGGAGCCTGCAAGCACCAACTCAGTTATTTTTGGAACTCTGTGGGCGCTTGCAGCCTTTGTTGATGAGTATCCTTCAGGCTGACAGGGACTAGAGCAAGAGGAGCTGCTGACCCAGACCTCTCAGATGTTGCTGTGGATGGACAAATCCAAACTTTGGGTAGATTCAGGGACGTTCTCTTCTGTGCTGTCTATGGAGAACTTCCAGGTGATTTTCCATGTGTGGGTTGTCAAACTGCAGGACAGCACCACCTGTCTCGCCACTGAACCAACATTGGTGCCCACAGCACACAGCATTGATGTCAAGAAAAAGTAAGAATTTACAAAATTAGAGAATAATGACAGTGTGGTTACACACCATGGCAATGAGAATGAAAAGTCCTCAAGAACCTGTTTTGTGGCTAACTGCTATTCAGATACCAGTCAGAAACTGTAGTGGGATGTAAGGTTAAGCAAAAACTTAGCGATAGCTGGTAGAATGAAGATATGACCTCTAGTTACTTTGAATAATTATAATACCAAAAATCACACTTCTAGAATGATACTTTACATGGAAGTGTAAGAACACCTCAGTGTAATGAACTTGACAGACGTCAAGACATACACAAACAAACTTTTGTTATATAAGCTCAGATGACCATTTATTCTGACACTTTTTTTTTCTCACTAACATTTTATATAAAAGGCCTTATGTGTTTCTTAAGAGATGTGCTAGCGGGGTTAAATGTCTGTCACTCGTTCTGTGCAGAATGAAAATAAAGGCAAATATCTCAACTGAGCATGCTATTGGCTATTTGCACATTGGGTGAAATAACCCTGATTTAGGGACAACAGCATGAAACAGAAAGAGGGTGTGTGTGTATGTTCCTTGTGGAGTGGTAACCCTGGCACTGTTGGCATGTAGGTCTGACCTCAGCTTGTCCAGCAGTGGCCTGTAGCGTTGTGGTGAGGTTGAGTCTCTGTCTCCCCTGCCTGTGCAGCAGAGACAAATGTTGTTAGCAGCTTGTGTGACTTTTCTGTCTTGAGTTTGGATCCAGAGTCTGGGAAAAGTCAAAAGCAAAATATTCCAATGAAATTGTCAGGTTCAAGGAGTGCCTGGACTTTGGGGAGAGCTATCAAGGGCTGCCCCATGGCACCACACAAGGTTCTGTCAGACCTCCTGAGCTGAAACTAAGTGTAGGATGCGAATGTGTATTAAAAAGATGAATCTGACTGGCATGTCCTGCTCTTCTTATTTCCTCAGCCTCCACTGTTGCAGAAGGGAGCCCTTGTTGTGAGACATGACTGCTCTTGTGGCTTTATCTCTCAGCCAAAATGGCTTAAGGAAAGAAAAACCCTTCCTAACCACACACCTGGGCATCTGCCAAACTCTCAGCATGTGAAAAATACCCATCAGGCTGAGACTGGGGAAGATTTTCTCTTTAGCTGTATTCCCACCCATGCCCCAAGCTTTTCTGTTGCTTTTCAAGTCTCTTCTCTACCTCAGGAGAATCTCTGTGGCTTTTCCAGTGGGAACCTCTGTGCCTCAATTTCCTCACAAAAAGCAAATGTTCACTCCCTTTCTGGGAATGAGCTTGTCCTTCTGGGGTCAGTGTCCACCTGGTAGAGCAAAGAGATCTCCTTGGAGAATGGCTCTGTTGGAAGCTGACAAAACCAACTGTGATGGCTGCAAAGAAGTTTCAGCTGCATTTTCCCTTCTGAAGGAGTAAAATTCTATGTGTTAGCAGTGAAGTCCTCTGGAGTGACAAGAAGAGCTTAGTCTTTGTATCAAACTAGAGTGAGAAGGAGAGACAGCTCAGTGAGAATCAGAAGGAGGTAAAGAGAATGAAGAACTTGAAGAAAAGAGTTATCCAGTGCCTGAGAAGGATGGGAAGGTGGATGGTCACTGACAAGTGCGGACAGAGGATCTGCATTAACATGCTCTGTTAACATGATCACATCTTCCGTGCTTCTTTGTCAGCACTTCCAGTCGGAATGCTGGATGTACATTGTCTCTGTGGAATGCTCAGGGGATGATACTTCCACATGCCCATCTGCAGGACCACCCCCATGGCGCCCTCCATGAAGAGGTTTGGTGAGGTGTTGGCTGAGAGACCAAAATGATTCACTGCCAGAGCAGGAAGAACCAGAGAGTGAGGGGTTCAGACAAGGTAGGAACAAATATTTTCTTTTCCTTACTTCCTTCACCTTCCTCAGTGAGGCATTTCCAGAAGCTCTGCTCTTGGTACTAGAAGGTTGTTTTCTGACTCTCTCCCACACAAACAGGAACATTGCTCTCAGTGTGCACCTCACCTCAGTGTAGATCCCACAGTGCAAAAATGCCTATCACCTCCTGCCAGGGTGTTCCCTGAGGGGACATCTACTGTGTCCCAGCTCCCTGCTCTCCCATTTCTCAGAACCTCCAGAGAACAACCTTGGTGTCTAGTCCTTTTGTTCTGGGACCAGGACACCTCCAGCTGGGTAAGGGACCTAAAGAGCCTCTATGAGACTATTATATCCCATTTGGATGACTCCTGGGTCCCTGAGTACACACACAAGGGCTGTGTCTTCCTTCCATCCAGCCTAATGCTTCAGCCAGCACAACTTAGCATGGGGAGATGTTTCTGACCTTGGTGGCACAGATCTGCCCTTCACTGAGTTGCTACAGATCCTGTTACCGTGTGAAGTTTGTTGGATGACAGATTCCCCCTGAAACAAGGCTCTGGTGTCCCAGACAGGGTGAGAAGATGGAGATGCCCTGGCACTTGTGAATTATCCAGTGCCACTGTTTGCATGTCTCAGAGAGGAAGCAGTGAGGTCTTGGTCTCTGGGAACAGCAAGAAGGTGCCCACTACCTGGATGATGAGTATGGACAGTGATTCTCACTGGAGTTGCAGGCAGGAGGAGAATGAGGGCAGCATTGCCTAGTCCATGGAACTCTGCGTACCTGAGCCCTTATTTCAAGCTCAGTGGTGCCTTCAGGAGTACTTCCTCTGCACCATGGAGATGGTGATTGCCTGAGGGTGACAAGGGTTTGAAACACTGCCTGGAGGCGAGATTGGAGGTCAAAGAAATTGTAAAATGTCATTGAAAAGTATATCTAAATATCTAAAACTGGTGTTGGTTAACAACCCTAAATTGGGTATTTTTGGTCTTTGCTTCTCACTATCCTACTATTTGTTTATTTTTTAATGAGTAATATTTTTTCTCTATCTTCCCCAAGCTGCTTTGCCTGTAAGGGTAGCTGATATTTGATCTCACTGTGTTTACATTGGCTTTTTGCCTTATTTTCTCCCCCTGTCTTGCTGAGGAGAGAAATTGAGAAAGACTGAGTGGGTGTCTGGCAACCAGCCATGGTTTGATACTTGCTTAGGAAAATTGTACTTGCTCTTGGATGATCAGATGGATTGGATTTCAAGGCTAAATCACCTAGGAAAATCTGTTTGCTAATATGCTGGAGGTAGGGGCTGCTTGTGGATTACCTCAGCCCTGCATGTCTGGAAAGCAGCTGGGCCCTGCCAGGTGCTGAAGGACTGTATGAGCTACCTATATCATATATCTGTGCCTGTGTGTGCTGGTCCTGGACACTAGATTGAGTAATGGAGAGGAGAAGGGAAAGATGAGACTGTGGGCTGTCCCCAAGTATTTTTATTTCCCTATCTCCATTCCTGCCACCCTTTGGAGGCATCCACCATTTGAACCACCTCCCTCAGCAGAGCTCCATCAAGAGTTAGAGGAGATTCTTTCCCCAGGAGCCAAAGGAGCTTCTGACCTCACCTATTTGTCTCCTGCAGCCATGGGCTCTTCACTCAAGGGCAGCAGAAGTTGAGATCCCCATTCACAGAATGTGCTTCAGGACCTAGTACTCCAGGCACATTGGGGAAGAGATGCATCTGCAAGGACAGATGACCACTGGGTGTGGAGTGTCCAGGAATGTCTACCATAGCTCCAAGAGAAACAGCACAAAAGACAATCCCTTGAAGTGGGTCCTACCTTCTCCTTCCTCTGGAAATGAGAAAAGATCATCTTCTGGACCCAACCTAATTCTCTCCAAAAAGTCACATTTTCCCTGAGTAGGCTGCAGGAGTTGGCACATAACGAAGGAAGACTAAGAGACACAGACTTGGATGCAGCACAACTTTAATAAGTCTAAGGAACGAAAGGGAGGCAAATCATAGGCAGCACAAGAAGCGATCACCAAGATGTGGTCGAGCTCCTGCACAGTCTCCATGTGCCTGTCTTGCAGAGGGAGGGAAGCCACCAGGTCCCAGCTCGGCTGGCATTGGGAGACAGGGACCACAAAGGCAAGAAGAGAGAAGAGAGTGAAAGAAGGAAACAATGCTTGGAAGCTCTATCTTATGTCCAGTATCATGTTCTGAGGTATTGCAGGTTCCTGACTGAGGTAGTTGCCAGTAACTTTAGCAGGGGGGGCAGCGCCTGCCACAGTCAAAGCCCCCAGAGTTGATGGGCACGCCCTCACAGCTGAGGATGCTGCCAACAGCAGCAGAGGTGGAGTTGCCCACAGCGGTGTTCTGTGGGAAGGAGCTGAGGATGGGTCCGGGCAGGGTCACCACCACAGGGGAGGGCTGGATGACAATGGTGGAGCTCTGGCACTGCCGCACACAGGGCTCATTGCAGCTGTTGGCCAGCGGGGTTGGGCCGCAGGGCCGACAGGGCAGGCAGGTGTTGTACTGGCAGGGCTGGCACTTCTCAGGGCAAGACATGCTGTATGGCCAGGTGTGTACCTGGGAGAAAGGGGAGGTAAAAAGCATGGAGACACATGAGAAGCAGCACTGCACCCGAGCACAGCAGAGCCAAGGCACTGGCCCAGCATACACTGCCCAGCTCAAAGCCCAGTAGCAACCTCAGCTAAATCCCAGACTGCCTCTGCAGAACACTTTCCCTCCCCTTTCATCTCCCTGGAGAAGCAGCTCCCAGCGCTGGGCCAGAACAGCCTGTGTCAGCTGAGACATGCACAGAGGAAAGACCTGGACTAGAAGCAGCAGGACAAGAAAGTTTATACCCACCTGATTCCCAAGGAGGAGGAGGAAGAGGCGAGAGAAGTGAATGAGAGAGCTGAGAGTTGGGCTGCCTTTTATAGTCATCCTGTACAGCCTCAGGCCCAGAGGCGGCCTTGATGGAAGTCATAATTTTCTGAGAAGCTCATGTGAAGAGCATACCACATCAGCTCATGCTATGGGCAGTGTCCTGGTTTCCTGCTCTGCTGCCTTCTCATTTCCTGGCTGATGCTTCATGTTTTCCCATAGGATGATTTCTGTAAATGCCGGGATTAGAGGCACAATCATTTCCCGGGCAGACACACATCGGTCCACCAAAAAGACTCAACTCAAGTGCCAATAGCCTCCTATGCAGGCAGGTGATTTGCACCTGGATCATGCCTGTGGTCTTCTCTGCGGCAAAGTTGTCAGGAAATAGACATTACTCTTGGTTTTTTTTTCTGGATGCCTGTCAGTTGATAGGGCTGGGATAGTCATTAAAAAAATGTCAGAGGTTCTCTATTAACCTCTCTTACTTCCCAAAGGGGTATGGAAAAAGGAATAAGAGAGGCTTACAGATTGGAAAAATACTCATGGATTAGAGGTGATGGCAGAAGAGCGAACAGAATTCTCTTTGTATGCTGATCGTTGAAGAAGGGCATTAACACCCATGTTCCCTTGGTTTTATATCAAATCATTTGTTTAAGAAATGGAATACTTCACTTTTCTGTTTTGGGTCACCTGTCCTGCATGCTCCTCTCTGCAGTTGCAATCTCTTACTTGGCAGAACCCCAATATGGCACACAAGATCCAGCATTGACCTTGGTCACTATAAGAAAAAGTATCAGTGAGAGCCTTTCTGCATACCAATCCTTGATATTTACTCTAAACTTCAGGCCCTATCACTTCTAACAGCAGACATTGTCTGGAAAACCAGGCTGTTAACTTTAGAAAATGCTGCCTCTGAGAAGAGATATAGCTGAAAAGTAAAATAACTGAACAGAATTCATTCTGGTGTAGCTCAAACCAGGATGATGCAGCAAGGACTCCCATGTGAAAGGTCATGACAAAATCCTTTTCACTTGCTCCCCCACTACTCTCTAATGGTTGTTCATGGTTCCACGCAGGCGGGTTTCTGCTGGGAGGATTTGATGCTGTTACAGCACTAACACTGTTCTCAGGACAGTTTTGCTGGGCTCATTGGTATCATCGTCTCTCTGTGCAGTTTCTGCTGGTCCTCAGGGAAGAACAGGAACATGTCTGGGGCCTGTTTTTTTTTCCTGAGGAACTTCAAAGTTCTTCTACAAGAGTGACTTCCAGCATCTCCTCAGCAGAGTCTTCAGTTCTTGAGATTTTCTTGACTTTGTGTGAGCATACAGATTTTTGCATGGTGCTATGCAGGTGTGCATGAGCACACCCATATCATTCTGTATTTGTGTGACCCTCAGCATGAGGGCATGTGCAGGTCATAGCAGGGGGACTCTCCACTGGTGTGTCCATGAATACGCAGCATAGCAGGTTGCCCTTGCCAGAAGGAACCCATCTACAGATAAATGGTGATGCCTTTGGCCTGGCAGAGAAGTTTCCAGGGAACTGAAATGCAGCCTCTGCCTCCTGGGCCCTCCATTTCTTGCTTTATATACAGGGCAAAAGGCCAGGAAAGCCTGCCCACCTAGGGAGGTCGTTGTCCCTGGTTGGATTCCCTGAAGGTGCAGTGTGCCTGGCATGGGAACCAGGCTCCTCATGTCCAGGACAACAGCACAGCACTTCTAGAGCTCCTCAGCTTGGTGCTCAGTGAGGCAGGGTCCTAGACCTCACATCAAGTAACTCTTGAACTGAGGGAGTGAGGGTCCGGGCGCTGTGCTGCCGTGAGATGAAGGACAGACTCTCTGGGTGGCACAGGGAGAGTCAATCAGCTCTGAGTCAAACTCCTTTGTTTTCAAGCAGCAGGACTTTGGCCACAACAACGCCTAGCAGTGCTACAGGCTTGGGGAGAAGTGGCTGGAGAGCTGCCAGGCAGAGAGGGGCCTGGGAGTGTTAATAAATGGCTGGCTGAACACGAGCCAGCAGTGTGGCCAAGAGGGCCGTTGGCATCCTGGCCTGGATCAGGAATGGTGTTGTCAGCAGGAGCAGGGAGGTGATCGTTCCCCTGCACTTGGCTTTGGTGAGGCCTCACCTTGAGTACTGTGTTCAGTTTTAGGCCTCTCACTGCAAGAGGGATATTGAGGTGCTGGAAAGGGTACAGAGGCGAGCTGTCAAGCTGGTAAAGCACTTAGAACATAAGTCTTATGAGGAAAAGCTGAGGGATCTGGGGCTGTTTAGCCTAGAGAAGAGGAGACTGAGGGGAGACCTTATCACCCTCTACAACTACCTGAAGGGAGGTTGTAGAGAGGAAGAGATTGATCTATTCTCCCTAGTGGAAAGTGACAGGCTGAGGGTAAATAGATTCAAATTGTGCCAGGGGAGGTTCACGTTAGATGTTAGGAAGAATTTCTTTACTGAAAGGCATGTCAGACATTGGAACAGGCTGCCCAGGTAGGTGGTTGAGTCACCATACCTGGAGGTGTTTAAGAAATGAGTAGATGTTGTGTTGGGGGGAATTGTTTAGTGGGTTGATAGGGCTGGAACAAAGGCTGGACTCGATGATCTTCTAGATCTCTTCTAACTGACACTATTCTATGATTCTATGATTCCGTAATAGTATAATTCTATGATTCAGTATTCCCTCTAAATAACTGAATCTGAGGGACTAACAACAGTGTCTGGAAGTGAGGGGATATGTGATTTATTGCAAACAAGCAACACTCAGCTGTTTTTTCATGAGCAAGACAAACGAATTTCTTCTTTGTTTAGAAAGGAACTGTTGTGTACGAACCACAAGCCCCCATTGCATTTCCCTCTGCATTCCTTAAGGGTTGAGGAGATAGAAGAGTCAGGAATGAAGGAGTGATGTTGAGCTTCTGAAAAAACCATGCAGATGGGGTGAAGGTATACTACCAGTTTTTCTACTCTTTCTCAGAATACTGCTCTATTTTTCACTGGTACAAATTTAAAAGGATCTTTCCCTTGTCAAGTTTAGTTTTGCCTGTTTTGATAAGTGTAGAGCAATACCCTTTTCTTTATCTTGACCTACAATGTTTTTCGCCTTAGTTTCTCCTGCTGCCCTGTTGAGAAGAGAGAATGAGGGAGCAAGTAGCTGGATGGATGCTTTAAAGCCAAACAAGGTGTCTGATTTTTTACAACAGCTATGGTAGTTAGAAGTGCCATAAGTGTTTGTCATTTTCACGCTTTCATTCTTCTTTCTATCTGTACCATCAGGAGCAGTCTCTTTCTCCCACTGTTTTTTCCTTCAAAGGATGGTGAACAATGATGTCTATTGGCCTTTATGCTTGTGTACCTTGTCTCTAGGAGCAACTTTTTGCAGCCATGGGCAGTGTGCATCCTACCAACCCTCCTGCAATAGCCTCAAATGAACAAGGAGACCATGAAGGCCATGTGGGAGCAAAGCTGATGATGGGAGCTGCTGTGCTGATGGTCTGCTTTCTTCAGCCCTTTCTGACTCTGCAGGCAAAGGTCTCACATCAGAACTAATGCCAGAGAAGAAATAGAAGAAATATCTGTGTCATCTTGCAGGTCCATGCAAGCAACCTCTGTCCTGGAGGTGCTCTATGTGATAGGAGTTGGGAATATGTTGTCTGCAAGACACTCCAGCCCTGCAAACTTTTGCAATGAGGTGTGGAGCTGCACGGGACACGGTATGGGTAATGGAAGGACAGAGGACTTTTCCTAGATCTTCTTGCCCTTGGATGCATGCCATGATCTCTCCTGGAGACAGACGAGAAGGGGAGGAAGAGGAGGCTCTGGGCTCCAGATAATTTGAATTCACCTACTATCCCATCCTTCCAGCCTTGCGGCCATCATCTCTTTGGGCCTTCTCCTCCAGCACGGATCCACAGATCCACAGAGGAAAACACTGATGGTCACAGACTGTGAAGGAGCCAGAGAAGTTGTCCTCAGCTAAAAGGCACAGGGACTGGAGGAGGACAACACACAGTGAGTCCTGCCCTCTCAGTCCTCTAGCAATGAGAAATGGCCCACTTGATCTCCCATTTCTTCCCTCCCAGCAGGTCTTCCTTCTCCCTGGACACGTGTACAGATCTTGCAGAGAGGAAAGGAGCACACAGAGACAGAGGTTGGGATGCAGCAGAGTTTAATGAGTCTAGAGAAGGAAACAAGATGTCTCTGAGGGGAGACCACAGTGAAAGGATCGCCATGGGCAGCAGAAAGTCAGTGCCTCATGGAGGGAAGGAGGCAGGCAAGTCACCTCAAGATGTTTTTGGCAGGTCTCAATGCTGAGGGAGGCAGAAAGCAACGAAGCAAAAGGAGGGAAAGGAGAGAGTGCAAGAAGAGTATGAGAGGTATTGACTATGTTTTCAGAGAACCCAGACTGGCCCCTTCCAAAGGGCTGACACCTATTGCAGCAGGAGCAGGGCATGCTCAGTCCCTCTCAAAACAATGGCCACGATCTCCATAGTTCAGTCTGGCATCATCGTCTGGATTCCAGAGGCTCCCA